TCCGCAATATTCTGCAATGCCATCTGGGATAGGTCGATGAAGGCTTTCTATTCTTCAGATCAGGGGTTCGGGTTCCAGATCAAAAAAGGCCGGGTTTCAAACTTTGAGTAACCCGCATCTTTATTTAGATCTCCAAGGGGTTGATTCTAAAGTGCTTTGGTGCCTTTATCAGCAAAGTCAGAGAACCAAAGCTTGCTTTTTAAGGAAGGCATTGCATAACTGAGAGAGAGTTTCACTACTATGAAGTTTTGTGCGAGATAATCATTCAGTATCCTTTACTCTTTCAGTCTATAAAATTTTATCCGAGATAATCATTCAAGACTGAGATTATTACTTTTTTCACTATAAATATATCTAAATTTATCAATAATCATTAAATTTTTTTCAGCTATCCTCCTTAAAATTAATTCCAATAAATCTCTCCCCACTTTGTCTACCCTTCCATTTATCTTAACCTATCATTCATTTCTCAAAGTATAGGTCAGTCAATGCCTTAATTATATTTATATCCCCATTCTCTCACTCCAAAATCGAAGATAGACTAGTTGACCTAAACAGAAAAATATTAATGATAATTATTTGCGCGGGTGGTAAGAATATTTTTGTTGACAAAACAAATATTTATTATTTATTAAAAATAATTTAAATATCAATATTAACAAAAATATTAATTAAAAAATATCTTTAAAAAATTAAAAATATTTTTAATAAATCCAAAAAAAAAATTATTTTCCTCATAAAGTCCCCATAATCACATTAAAATTTACCTTAGACCCCTCGCTTTATTTAATTTTATAAGATCGCTAATTTAGCTCCCATTGAAGCAAGATTTTGTACGAACATGTCTAGTAGTCTTAACCAACTCTACTAAAAATTTCAGAATTTTAGTTTTAATATTTCAGAATTTATGGTTGAATAAGTCAGCATTTGAATCTAAAGCATGCCCATTTTTAGAATTTTTGATCAAAATTTTTCGAATACTGATCTAAAAAATCTAAGTTTTTTTGTTTCAACTAGACACTTTATTAAGGATAATATCCTAAAATTTCGAGATTTATAGTCTTTTCTGACGGTATTATGGATATTTAACTAGTTACTCCTTAACACAAGACACTCATTTGTAAGACCCTCACTTATAATTTTTTAGCAGATTTTACCAACCACTGAACCAAAAATTCTGAAAATTTAAATAAAGTTAGAAGGCACTATTGGAGACCATATTCTAAAATTTCATGATTTTATTTGGTCAATACTAGAGATCGGTCTGGATCCAGTCTGGATTTTTCTTGGATCCAGAGTCCAGATCCAGGCATTTTTTGATCGTAATTGATTTTTCCTGTATCTGGATTTTTCTTGGATCCAGAATCCTGTCCAGGTTATTAACCTAAATTCAGATTCAGAATCAAAATCCAGGATTTTTGAAAATACCGATTTCTAGTCAATACTTTAGTTTATTGGCTTTCAAATAAGCTTTACCAGTCGTAACCTATACCTTTAGGTTTCTTCAAGTTTTGTAAAATTCTGAAAATAGAAAAATTTTTTTTTAAATTTTGACTAATATTCACGTCATTTTACATCTAAAATTTTATTTTTAAAAAATTACAAAATTTAATTTTTTACTCATTTTTCTAATCCATTTACAAATATAATTCAATTCTCCCTCCTAACCACCTTACCTCATTTTAACATTAAAAACAAAAGGTGTAATGAGTGAGAAATTTTTTTGTTTTTATGACTCATTTAAACTTTTCTTTTAATTCCTTTCAACAAACAAAAAAAATTTTTTTCTTGACAAATCTCTCCAAGTAATCGTTTAAAACCTTAACTATCTACATACACCTCTCTCCGTTTAATGGCCTTGAATTTCCCCCCATAATTATTTATTTTCTCAACATTATTATTTTCTTATTTTTACTGATCTGATTTTTAAAAATAAAAAATTAATTTGAGAAATTTACTCTAAATTTGATTTAAAAAATGAAGGGTTAGGGGCATGTTTCTTGTGGACAGACATTTGCGGATAAACTTGGGCCCAGTTAACTAGGGTCTGAAGGCTTGGATCATACTAGGGATCATCCTGGTGTTCGTTTATGGATCCATCATTCATCTAAAGTTATGATCCCTGAATGTTATGTTAGAATGCCAGATCAACCTCTTTATTTTAAAATATCAATTTATGTTAGGTCTGCAAACTTATTCTGCAAAATTAATTAAATTATAATATAATCTTAATATTTTTAACAGCCTTCTAAGAGGCTCTATTGGATAAATCCTTACTTAAATTAAGCAAAAAATACTAATTATCTAAATTATAAAATTAGTTTCTTATTTTTATCACAAGTCTGCAGATAAAGAATGTGAATAGTAAATTCTGCGAGATGTCCCGTTAGGCTTTTCCCCTATTATCTCTATTTTCAAAATTTTTTTCCAAGTTTATTTTTTTATTCCAACTTAAAACTTTAATTTATTTAAAATTTTAATTTAAATAGAGAAAAAGGTCGGTAAAAGCCCGCCTAAATAATGCGCGAGCACCGCAAATTTAAAAATAATGGGCACAGAAAGAAAATCAACAAAATTATTATTAACCCTCTATTAACCTCTTTACTCTTTAAAAACTTCAAAAATAATATTTTTATTTTTATTCTGATTCTTTTAAATTTAATTAATTTAACCCCAACAAATGCATTAAGACGCAGATCAGAAAATGAAGGTTAATAAATAAAATTTTGGGTCGAAAAAAATTTTTTTGGGTCGAAAAAATTTTTTTTTTGACTCGTAAAAAATTCTAAAAAAATTTCTAATTAAAAAATAAATTAATAGACCATCTGAAAATTAATTTTAAAAATTTTTAAAAATAATTTTACTATTTTTATTTTATCATTTTACCCTTAGGAAAGCTGTCGTTCCATTATTTATAGGGAGAAGGACGTTTGGGCGCTTGCTTATAAAATAGTCAAACACAAAGCTAAAGTCGTAAAATTTTGCAGAGATATAAAAAACAATCTTAGCTAGGGCTCTTAAAAATTTCAGAATTTTTGATTCAAAATTCCTTGAGTTATAGCCAAAAATGTAAAAATTTCCTTCATAAATGCCAATTTTTCTGATTTTTTCGACCAGAACTTGAAAAATTCTGAATAAAAAATTCTGAAATTTTGAGAGAAGATAGATAGCACTATTAGAGAGGTACTTGCAAAATTTCATGAATTTAGATTCATTTTTGACTGTTTTATACGTGATCGCGCAGACGTTACTTAAGCTTGTTTCTTCTCTTTTGTTAAGGAAAAAGGGACATTTTTTAAAATTTTTCAGAAATCCAAATCACCGTCTACCCAGCCGAATTAACCGTTCAAGAAGGTCGGGAGGCCAGTTTTGACTGTAGAGCCCGTGCCACAGACAATAGTATTTACCCAGAAGTAAGGTGGACTCGAGTAGGCGGGAGACTACCTGATGGAGTCTATGAAAGTGGAGGAAGACTTGTATTTTCAAATTCAAAATTGGCTCATTCTGGCCGATATATTTGTTTGGCAATGCATAAGGGAAGGAGTGTCGAAGCTTTTGCACAATTACAAGTTCAATCATGTAAGGGGGATATTTTAAATTTACTGGATAGATTTGAAGCCTTGCCTCTTTTAAGCCTTTCTATAGCCTTCCCTTTCCTCCAAAAACTCTAATTAATGAACTCTCGATTGTAGCGACTTCTCGATCTAGTCGTTATTCTCTCCCTTTAATGAATATTTGTGTTAAACGAGAGCGGGCTTATATTATAAAATGGGCTATTATTAGAGAGTGGATATTCATCGATGTGCCTCTGGGTTGGTAGATCTGGGCTTCTAATAGAGCTGGGCATATGTAGAGCATTCAGATCAAAAATAAGGAAGGGGTAGGGGTAATAGGAGAACCTTTCCTCAATACTACCTTATTCTCTAGACCATATCCTATCATTAAAACGTAGTTAAGTCCTAATAGCTTTTAATTAAATAATTATTTAGTTGGACCTCAAGAATTCCAAACAGACAACAATCCACCAAGTCAACCAGTTACCTGTAGTGCTAATGAACGTGCTTGTGGAGGAAATGAATGTGTAAAGATGGAATATGTTTGTGATGGAGAAAGGGACTGTAGGGATGGATCTGATGAATTGGTACTGTTTAAACTAGAACAGCCTTATCTGATATTCTTGAGCTTTATCTGACCTTTCGTTTGTAGTTAGTTCCTTCCACGTTACTTTACCGTTGGAAAGGAATGACAGTCAAATTCTTGGTATTAAGAGCCTGGTATTAAAAAGCCTTAAGCCTTATCTCATATTCTTTCCAGACTTTAGGTTATGTTCCTTTCACCTTACTTGTGGTGTGTAAGGTACATGTATTAACCTTTACTTTAAATCCTGAAATTAAATTGAAGTAGGATTCGTCGGCACTAGGGTTTCGCCGGAACCGAAATTTTGACCGGAACCGGAACCGGAACCGGATCCAATTTGAGTTCCGGTTCCCGGAACCGGAACCGGAACTTTTCAAAGTTCCGGCCCGGAACCCGGAACCGGAACCGGAACTTCCGGCGAAACCCTAGTCGGCACCCAATTCCTAATATTTTTATGGGAGAAAACATTATATTTATTTGAAAATAGTCATTGTTCCCTTCACTCTACTTGTGGTGTGTAAGGTACATGTATTAACTTTTACTTTAAATGACCCGAAGTTAAATCGAAGTAGGATTGTTCGGCACCCAAGATCCTAATATTTCTATGGGAGAGACCTTATAGATTCTTTGAAAATAACCATTGTTCCCCTCACCCTATTTATAGTGTGTAAGGTACAATCATAATAAATGGCCTCCTTTTATTTTTCCATCTTAACATCTTAATTCAGGGGAATCTAATAAACAATCTGACTAATCCTCTAAATCTCCTTCTCTTATAATTACAAAAATCTTTAAAATTAATATAGAATTGCCCTTCCAAACGGCACTGTGAGCCAAACGAGTTTAAATGTAACAATGAAAAATGTGTCCAGAAAATGTGGCTATGTGATGGAGATGGTAGAAATTTTTTTAAAATTTCTAAAGATTAAAAAAATCTAGATGATTGTGGGGATGGCTCTGATGAATTAAATTGTAAACAACGCAAACCTGGAGATCTGTGTCAAGCAACAGAATTTAGTTGTAAAGATGGGAGGCAATGTGTACCCTCAAGTTTTCATTGCGACGGGACTAATGATTGTCATGATGGAAGCGATGAAATTGGTATGGGGTGTTCTAATTAGTCCTGTCGGAGCCGCTTTATAATGTACATTATTGGGGCTAAAATTACTGTACTTTATAATTAGGTGTCCCTTAAATAGAGGATATCGTTTAGGAGTCCACCATACTCACCGACTTTTTACAAAAATTTTTGACATTTTCGACCAGAATTTCTGAAATGTCTAACCATAAAATCAGAAATTTTTAACGGAGTTAGCTAACACTATAAGAGACAACTCTACAAAATTTCATAATTCTATAGCCAAAATTGACAATTTTATTGGCGATAGACTGAGACCAGATCCGTCTATTTTAGCCTAAACCCATCCCTTCCCTTCGACTTTCCCCCTCAAATTTTATTTAAAAAATATTTTTAATTTATCAGGCTGTGTCCAGCCAACAGTTGTTGCACCTCCACAATCAAATATGGTTGTACCCCAGGGTGGTGAATTTAAATTGACATGTAGAGCTGTTGGAGTTCCCGACCCCTATATTAATTGGCGTTTGAATTGGCAAGATGTTTGTGAACCTCCTAGATGCCAGCAAGTTTCTGAGGGTGGTGTTGGCACTCTTACAGTTCAGAATGCCCAGTCAGTCTAATTTTTTAACTTTCTTTAACCTTGTATAGTGGAAAGTTGGTTCGGTATTACTTGTAGCCTGTAGGACACCACACTAGTCTAAAAGGATTCGTCATGTTCCTTTCACACTTCTTGTAGTCTGGAAGGAACATACCTATTCTATCTACTCCAAAAGGAACATGTTCATGTTCCTTTCACCCTAGTCCGAAAGGAACATGTTCCTTTCACACTACTTACAGTCCGGAAGTAACATGTTCCTTTCACACTTCTTATAGTCCATAAAGAACATTACCATTTATTTTAATTTAATAAACTAGAAGGTCTATAAAGTGCTTAACCTCCCTAATCTCATTTTCAGGCCATTAGACCAAGGTGCCTACACTTGCGAAGCTATAAACGTCAAAGGCCGAGTACTAGCAACTCCAGACTGTATCGTTCGTATAGTCTCTATACCAGCACCAGAACCCCCTCCAGAATCACGTGCTCCAAAACCAGAACAGAGAACCTGTTCTAGTCCAACAACTTATCAAGCACCTCAGGGCTGTCTTCGCTGCTTTTGTTTTGGAGTTACTGATCGTTGTCGTTCTAGTATGCTTTTCAGAACAAAGGTAGGCGCTTTAAGTTTTTAAGGGGTTCCATATAATTAATATTCTGATTGAACTTCTCATGTTCTGATTTAAATAAGAAAATTCTGATTCTATAGACTGACCTGAACTGTGTGTTCCTTACACCTTACCTAATGGGTGAAAGGGACAGAAATCTTAATTTGACTTAAACTAGAAGGATTTTTTCTGACATGTGTCAAATTATCTAACATATGTCAAAATTTTTTCTGGCATATGTCAAAATTTTTCTGACATGTGTCAAATTTTCTGACATATGTTAAATTTTTCTGACATAATCAAAATTCTGGTTTTTATAGATCTACCAGGAAGGTCCCCTTCCTTCCTTTTTACTTCATCTTTATCCTTTATATTTCTCTTATGCATTACATTCCTCAGTATGTTCCTTTCGCCTTACCTTATAGGCTGAAAGGAACACTCATTAAAAAATTATTTCAATTGAAAATATACGTATTTTTCTGTGCTTTTATTTCTGCTTAAAATTCTGCTAAAATTTTTCTTTATTTATTTTTCATTCTTTGGTTAATTTTTCTTGTTTTTCTTTGTTTTTTGCTTTTTTAAGTTGCTAAAATATTAAAAAATTTATTAAAAAAAATTTTATAAATTTTTTAAAAAAATTTTCAGGAAATTCAATGTGTAAGTTCAAAAAAAACTTTGTTGGCTTTGGTATAAAAATATTGAAAAAAATTTTCTCTTACCCCTTAGAATTTAATGACACTAACACTAATCTCAAGTCAGTAGTGTTCTTCCGTTCTCAGGAACCGGAACCAAAAAAATTTTTTAGTTCCCAAATTGGAACACTGATTTTTTAATTACCGGAAGAACGCTGCTTGTCAGACCTTGTTTTGTTTAACTAAAATGTTTTGCTGTGTTTTCTAATCGTTTATTTTGTGTTTTTCATTTGTTTGAACCCAACAGGCTTTTGAGCTTTCTGATTTATTCTAGAAATCCCTATATACTCAGGACCAAGAAGGTCACGTTCACTTTACTATTTCAACGATACACGTATAAGTAGGGTGCCCGACGTTATTCCAATCGAACCCCGAAATACGAAGCCTAAACGTAAATCCGGACTTTTTTCGACCCGAAACGCGAAACCCTTGAAAATTTTCTTAACCCTTGATATGGCACTTCCCGTTATTAAGGTTGGCACTTATATAGCACTTTCCGTTACTAACCTGTACGCTCGTTTTTCGGTTACCCACAGTTTCGGTTTCGGGTCGATTAATTGTTTGTCTCCAAGCCTACTTGATATCCATAATACTCATAAGTTGTTTGACTCTGTTTACTCTTCTTAACCCTTATTAACAAATCTCTTATCCCTCAACCCAACAATTTAAAAAATTATTCATAAAAAACAATATTTTTTAGGAAAAACTTTTCTTCGCTGCCCAGGGGCAAACCCTACAACTAGCTGATCAAGACGGACGTTCTGTTCCAGGCATTCAACTGGATTATGAACGCTATAATTTTGTTGGCCATAAAGAACCGCATCATGGGCAGACACTTTATTGGAAAATGACCCAACTATTTCTGGGAAATAAAGTGAAAAATTTCTGAATTTTTCAAAAATTTTCAAAAAAAATTTTTGGAAAATTTTTGAAAATTTTTTGAAAAATTTTTTAGAATTTTTTTTTTAATTTTTTGAAATTTTTTCAGAAATTTTTTGAAAATTTTTTTTGAAAATTTTGAAAATTTGAAAATTTTTTTGAAAATTTTTTTTCGAAAATTTTTTTTTGAAAATTTTTTGAAAATTTTTTGAAATTTTTTAAAAATTTCTTCTGAAAATTTTATTGAAATTTCAATAAAGATTTAAAAAATTTTTTTTCAGGTCACTGCATATGGCGGCGATTTATCAGTCAAATTACTGTATGAAGGCCCTGGTCCAGGAAGGACTGAACCTCTTATTATTCTCAGAGTGAATAATTAAAACAATTACCTGATTAAAAATAAACTTTAGGGAAATGGAATTACTTTGGTTCACCGTGCTAGAGACCAAGAATCTGTGTTTACTCCAGGGAGAGAATTTACAGTAACTGTGCCGACTTATGAGGTGATTTTTGAATTTTCTTTTTAAGAGGAATACCAGTTACTCTCTCACTTATATTAGCCAATCTCTCTCACTTATGGCAGTGCTTCGAAATTTCGGTTCTGCTCGTACTCGTACTTCGTACCAGGTACGAGGTACGAGTACAAATTTTGGTACGGCTTGAAGCACTGCTTATGAGCACACTCACTTATCCCATCATTTAGAATATGTATCCTTATGTCTTAAATATGGCCCAAGGGTTCGATTTTCTAGATATCCTTCAAAATCTGATCTCTTTCAGATTGGGACTTTATTTAAAAAAATACGATATCTCACAAATCAAACCTCAAAGTTCCCATTTAATGACTGCGTTTCAAAACTTTCAGTAGATAAAATTTTGTGAAGAGAATATAGTGGCGGGATTATATGGGGTAGGATATAGGGAAGGATGGGGGAGGGGGCGGAGGGTAAGATGGGGGATGGAGGAATAGGATGGGGGCTTGGACCGATATACAAAACTCTCGGTTATTGAGAATCGAGATTTCTTAAAACACCGTCTCAATTCTCCCGCAACTCTCCTAATCCTATCTCCATAATTTCTCTACTAATTTTAGCAATTCTACGAACACCGTGATGGACGTGGCCCTGCTAGCCGTGAGGATTTAATGATGGTTTTGGCCGATTTGGACCTGTTTTTGATTCGTGCAACCCACACGGACAGTCAAACAAGTACAAGGTGGGGGAGAGTATGTATTTTTAAAAATTATTTTTGAAAAATTTTATTTTTGGCGTTCTGCCTACAAAATTTATTTTTGCATCTTTTTCTTTTTTAAATTTTCCCTTTTTGGCATTTCTTTTTTTGCAATCTGCAACATATGCAAATTTACATTTTAATAATACTAAAGGTTCTATGAAAAAGGATATTAAAAAGGGAAACAATAGCACGTCAATTTTAAAAATAGAAACAATGGGTATTGTTTGTGAGTTAGTATTGTAGTTATTTTTGGAAGTAATTGGGGTATGGAAGGATTGAATGAGGTTTAATATGTATTGGATGTATTTGGAATTGTTTGAATTTTTTTATGTTTGCTTTGTATTGCGAACGATTAATTTTTCTGTTTTTTTCTCTGAAAGTCTAAACCCCATTTTTTTACTGCTCATTTTAGCTTAAGAGATTCAATCTCTGATATATCTCAGACGAAGCTTTCATTAATCTCATGATTGCCTTTTATTACTCCTTTTCCTTTATTACTGGAGGGAACCACTGGATTTAGATTTATACTTTCATTCCACATTATGAGAAGGCTAAAGGGATCCATTAGCTACGGAAAAGTCTTATCGAACTTTTTATTTTCATTTTTAAACCCTCATGCTTTACTAGCTTTTCAATTTTAATCTTTTTATTCAAAGAAAAAAGTCATAATCCAAATTAATATTTAAATTATTATGTTGCCATGGGGATTGTTATTTTGTCTATTAAATATTTTTTTTAATTAATTAATATATATTATGTAAACATTTCCTCCTTCTTAAATTAACGATATCGTCTACTACTTTTTTGTTGACTGTCTTCATCCTTTCCGTCATCTATTCTTTCGCATAATAAAGAGACTAATAATTGACTAAATCTGTTCCATACCAACATTTTAAGTTCTCTTTCGTGTACATCAAATTGCTCTGGATGGGAAAATATTGTTGAATGAAATTCGGCATTTAAGAGCTCGCCGAGTTGGAAGATTCGTGTTTGTTGGGCTTGATGGACATAACGACGGGAGGAACGGCTGCGTGTCTAGAAATGGAAAAAAATTTTATTTTTGGTTTAGGATCAAATGTTCAAAACGGGTGAGGTCAAATGTCCAAAGGTGTGGGAATAAATGTCAAATGGGATCAAATGCCCAAAGTTTTGAATAAACTATACATGTAACCCGGGCGAGGGATGGCGCAGAGCCTTCACCCTATAAGTATTTATGTTCCGAGTGAAAAGAACGAGAAAAAGCCCCTTTAACTAACTTCCGGTATGTTAGACAAAGTATGGAACTGAGTTCAATATTGGGATCAAATGAATATCGGAACCCTAAACAGGGCGAGGGATGCCTCATGGAGCTGTCTCTGAAGCCGGCTGCCGAGGCCAGCCAAGGTTTTAAATACTCGGAGCCGTAGCCAGGAATCTGCCTGTGCCAGAGCCAATATGTCGGAGCCTGAGCTATTCCAGTATGTTCCCTTCACCCTATAGGTAGTGTGAAGGGAACAAGAAGTGAATGGAAACAATTTAAACCTAGGACCTATTGTTGAGACTTATTGTACATTACTATCCTCAAATAGCTCTCACCGAATTAGCTCTTTGTCTCAACCAGCTAGTTGCTCTATGTCTCGCCGCTACAATACTTGCATGTGTAGTAGTTGTAGTAGTAGCAGCAACAAATTCTTCAGAAGAGTATCCACTACTACTTCCACTAGAAATGCTTCCAGTCTTTCCATTATTATTCTCTTCATTTCCAATATTTTTAACATTTTCCAATTTTTCGTGGAAGGAGATAGCCCTTCCTTTAAGTGCAAACTCTCCTCGACGCTTTTCGATCCCTTTAGGAGACGCTTTTGGTGGTGGAGTGCATTCTTCGTCGTCCAACATTAATCTTCTCTTGTAGTCTACCAAAAGTTGGTCTGTGTCTGTGTCGATGTATCCCCCTTCTGAGCATAGGGTTTGGATTAGTTGTCGAGTTACTTCACGTAGAGCACACCCATCGGCAAAAGAGTCGTCTTTTCCTGGAAAATTTTGAAATGAGAAATAGATTATGAGAAGATGATTTTGGTGGTCGTATCTTCCTATATTGAGGTATCTTCCTAGAGTGAAGAAGGATACCCTCTCATATAGAGAATCTCTGTTAATTTCTAGTATGTTCCCTTCAGCCTACCATATGTAGTGTAAAGGGAACCGTGACAAAAAAATAATCAAATAACTTCTGCTATGTTCTCTTCACCCTACATGTAGTATGAGAGGAACAAAAAGAAATTGACCACAGAATCCCACACCAAGCTTCTATTATTATAGACAACACTTTCCTAATCCCCATTGATAATCCGTAGCCTTCTTTCTGCAAAATCTAAGCCCCTTATATCCCTTTCCCAATATCCTCTTAGCTCTACCTTTATTAGCCAGCATTCTTCTCCTTTCAGGAGGTGTAGCCATCAACGTCTCTCCTCTTTGTAATTTCTTAACATTCAATTGTTGTTGCTTTTCCTTCCCATTTTTCTTCTGTGCCAATCTCCAACAGACCATTTGCCAAAAATGGCGATTAGCCCTCTCTAGCTCTTTTAACATTAAAGGTAATTGCTCCAATTCATAAGGTGTTAGCATTGTTTCTGTTGTAAGCATATTACTTCCAAAAGATTTTCCTCTTCGTTTAGACCCCAAAATGTTGGAGAGAAGTGGTGGGGACATTATTTTGTTGAATTCAAGTTTATTTAATTTTTTTAAATTAATTGGGAGGCGTTTTAGGAGAAATTTAGTTGGATTTGTGTTTTTAACTGCAAAAATAAGAAAATTAAAATTTATTTTAAAAAATTTATTTCTTTGTGGGGTTTTTTGTGTTTTGCTTGGATATGAAGGAAATTAGATGTTATTCGAGAAAAAAACAAAGAAAAATTTTTGAATAGAAAAATTAGGAAAATTAGCGGAAATGCGTACTGTAAGTAATTGAGAGAATAAAGAGGTTGGTCAACGCGTAGCTTTATAGAATAGCCTAATGAGCACTTAGAGACTTCAAATTCTCCACAGATATCCTCAATAGTGTTAACTAACAATTCTGAAAATTTCAGAATTTCTGGTTTTATATTTCAGAATTTATGAACGAAAAATCAGAATTTTGTGGGAAAAGTGTCAACTTTTATGATTTTTCCGACCATAACTTGGGAAATACTAAACCAGAAATTCTGAAATTTTCAGAACTATTAGATAACACATTTCTGGCTGAGTATGCAAAATTTCACGCTTCTAGGAGCTTGTTTGTTTATTTTATGAGTGTTCGCGCAAGCGTTGTCGCGGACCTAGTAAACATGTTTATGCTCATAAAAATGCTTATAAATTTGCTAATAAATAACAAAAATAAATAAAATTCAAGAAAACAAATATAAAATTTGTATTTAAAGAGAAAATAAAAGGTAAAATGAATAAAAATAAAAAATTTAAAAATAAAAATGCCACGAGAACACATGGGAAATGGTGTAAATATTTATATTAAAAAATTCTTTTTGATCCCTCCAATGAATGCCAAAAAGCTAAAATAAATTAAAAAATGGAGGTATTGCGTGAAACTAGAAATAAAACTAAAAAAAGAGCATATTGAAAAAGCTTTTTTTGGAAATAATCCATTTAAAGCTTTATAACGTAATTGAGAGAGAGTAGGGGGAAAGAGAGAGGGGAAATATGTACATGAAAAAAAAATATTTAAAATAAATTTAATTTAAAACAAAAAAAGATTTTTTTGTTAAATAAAATCAAAAAAAGATTTTTTTGTTAAATAGGGTTAAAATGGGTAATTTTTGAAGGAAATGGGTGTGGTTATTTTAAGAAAGATAGAAAAAATAAAGGGAATTTATAAGGAGTTTGACTCATTTAAAAATTATGTTAATTGAGTCTGGGACTTGTACCTCGTTGAAGATGGAATCTTTTGGAAAATGTTTAGGGCTGTTCGATAGAGAATTGATTTGCTATAAAATATTCAGAAATCCGAATTTTTTATTTTTATTAAGAGAAAAGGGGAAAGAAAAACTTTAGGAAAGCATAGCCGTTTAAGAATGTTGAGTAATGTCTGGGAAGCATAATTCAGGAAGTTTTTGACTCTTCTTCGAAGTTTTGGTATCATTCGATAGAGAATTGAATCTAGTACAAAATATTCAAAAATTAGAATTTTTTAATTTCTGAACGAAAAGTTATGGCGTAAAAACTGACTGAGCACCTTGTAAAGAAAGAGGAGAATATTGTCTGTTTTTCGACCACAACTATTTTTAAAAATATTTTTTGATTTTTATTTTCTATTTCATTTTGTAGCAAATTCAATTCTCTATCAAACGATACCAAATTTATTCAAAAAGGTTCAGAAACTATTGAGTTATGGAGGTTTAAGTAGCCTCACCCAATACGTAGAGACTGAGAACACATGAGCATTTTCCTCATCTTTCTCTCTCACGTTTCCGGTTTTTTTTTTCTAATTTTATTTTTTTCTCCAAAAATAATATTTTTCCTTAAATGTCAAAAATAATTTTTTTATTTTTGTTATTTATTTTTGTAAAAAATCTCACAAATTATTCTCACAATTGTGTGAATAATAGCCTTTAAAAATAAATTTTTCGATGTTTGATACTTTTTTAAAATAATATTTTTAAAGCTCTCTATTAAATAATTTATTTATTTACGTCACAGAGAATTAACATATTAAAAATTTAATTTTCCTATGTATTTAAAAAATATCGAAAAATGTTGGAAAATATTATTGTGACCAAATGTACATATAAGTAGACAAAAGTGGATTTTGGGAGGAAATCTCTCCCACCTTTAGGGATGGATACCTTAAAGGGAGATAACTGAGGCTGGAATATGAGGGAAATAACTGAATTGACTCTCCCACTTATCCCCCCTTTCGGGATACCTCAGAGGAAGAATCTATGGAGTGGGAGATATGTAACTTGTCTCTCCCAGTTATCTCAGCCTTCTAGATATTCTAGGGAAATATTTGAGAGCTTAAGAGATAAATAAAAAGTTTAAGGGAAAAATTATACATGCATGAACATTTAAAAATCTTTAAAAAATATTAGCGCCAATTTTAGCTCGTTATAAATCAGGGCTCGGATTCGTACTTTATTTGAAAGTACAGTACTTTAAAATCGACCTCCGTACTTACGAAATTGAATTTGTACTTTATTGAAAGTATGTACTTTAAAATCAACATTTTGAAAAAAATGGAAGAAATCTGGCTTAAGGACCTCCAAAATTCTCAAAATTTTCGCCTGCGGCGCAAAAAATGGAAGAAATCTGGCTTAAGGACCTCCAAAATTCTCAAAATTTTCGCCTGCGGCGCAAAAAATAGATTTTTTGGCGCCTTCGGCTCCACAAAAAAGTGCATTGAAATTCACAAAATGGTAAGTTGAAACAAGAAATTATTAGAAAAGATTAATTTAAGAGAGAAATATAAAAGATTTGAGCACGAATAAATGTTTTCTAATTTAATTTTGAGTGTACTTTAAATGTGGAAATTTTGCCCCTATGTACTTTAAAATCAAGATTTTTGTACTTTTTATTGGCATTTTGTCGATCCGAGCCCTGTTATAAATAATTAATTTAAACCTTTATTAACGCATAATATTTTTAAATTATTTTTGTCAACAAATTAATCTTTAATGAGATGAGTTTTTGTGAAAAGAGATTATGGAAAATTTTACGAAAAATAATTGAAATTGGTTGTAAAAGGGTAAGAATAAAAAGAGGTCAATATTAGAGAGGGATAATAAGGGAGCTTGGAAGGGATCTGAAGATATCACTGAGGGATAAGAAGGGGCTTGGGGATATCCGAGAGGGTTGGGATAACTGGAAGCTTGAGATAAATTTTTAGATTTGTCGGATAAGAAGGACGTATGAGTTTATAAGGGATACAAGAAGAAAATTAAAAGGCATTTATGCAATTATAACCAATTTGGTCTTATAAATGGTGGTTTTATGTATATCTGTTGCTAATTTTAAAGAAAAATAATAATGGTAGGGATAAGTCAGAGCGCCTCTTAAATTAGGGAGACGTTTTATTTCGATGAGGTACATATAAGGATACGCAATTTAGTTGTAAAGAAGTCTAATGTAAGAGGATCTACTACATTTTAATTCAAATTTTTGGAAATAATGTACAAATTAAATGCCAAGAATGTAGCAAAATTATATTTAACACCAAAATTGTAGCGAAAATCACGAGAAATGGCTGGCTCGTTTTCGACAAGATTTTTACACAATATGAATTATTTCAAAATTTATTTAAATACAAATAAAACTTGGAAACTGAAAAAACCTTAAATTTATAAGGAACACGCGATTCCGTAAAGCTAACTATATTTAAATAAAATATATATTAAGTAAAATACGAGAAAATAAATGATTAAAAGAGTGAAATAAAAAATAAAATGGTTTGGTGACGTTAAAAAATTGAGAAAAGTTATGCTTGCGCAAATTAATGAAGTGGCATAAATAAAAGGACAAAAATAGGGGAATAATAAGAAAATAAGGTAAGAATGAGCTTGTAAAAAATAAATAAAAATGTCTGACAGATGAATAAGGTGTTAATTTAAATAAAAAATAAATAAAAGACGTAAAAGGGTAATAATGAATTAAATAGACTTGGTGGACTTTAACTGAAAAAAAATTTTTTTTGAAAAATAAAAAGAATTATATTAAGCAAAAATAACGTCATTTATGGCGTGGAATATTTTGTGTGTAACCTTTTGTGTAACATTTTGTGGAATTTTTGATTAATTTTTGTTTATTGTTTTTGTGAAAAAATTGTGTTCCTGAATGGTTAATCGAAAAAAATGTTTCTAAGCGATGCTGTTTTAAATATTAATCAAAGTCAATTCTTGATAATACGTCAATCTACGACAGAAGAAGGACATAATAGAATTACTTGAATAAGCCCTCCCATTGATCTCATCCCCGACCCCAACACTCACCCCCGTAGTGCAAAACTACGACCCAAACCCCCTCGGAGAGCTACTCTAATTTAGAACATGGAATTTTGAGGACTGATGAATATAGTGAAAGAATAATGGAGACGAGATACCATTAGTTTCGCTCAGTCCCTTTTCATTTTACAGACTTGTTCGAGAACAATATCATTAAGTGCCGGTTAACCAATTTGTCAACTCAACTTTAACTGACACTTATCCAATAATAAAATAAATTAACATGCTTTTTATTGCCAACTTTATTAGATTTTTTTGATTATAGCTATTATAGAGCCGTTATTAAATTAATTATAAATGTAAAATTATATATTATTTAAATAATAATTAAATTTGGGGGGGGGGCTGCTAATTAACAAAATAACAAAGAATAAAATTTTTAAAAAAATATTATCTTTGTGTCTTTTTTTAAATTTAATTTTTGTATTTTCTAAAATGGTTGAGAAATGTTTAAAAATGGCAAATACAATTAATTTTTATTTTGGGAAATAGAATTATTAGAAACAATTAAAAAATAAAATTTAAAAATCTTTTTAGTATTGGAGACACCAGTTTGGAAATTGCTGTAGCTAAGGACACTCAAGACAAGCGTGCCCTAGAAGTTGAACAATGTGAATGTCCACCTGGCTATACCGGAACGTCTTGTGAGGATTGTGCTGAAGGTTATGAGAGAATCCCTGGAGGGCGCTATCTTGGCACTTGTGTTCCTAGAAGGCAACCTTCACAACCTGTCTGTTCGGCAGTTGGATCGCTTAGCACTCAGCCCCAATGGGACGGTCGTTGTCAGTGCAAGCAGAATGTTATAGGTAATTGAATAAAGATAAAATGACCTAGAGAACCTTAGAGATGTTAGAGCTGTATGGAACAGGGATGGACTGTATTGAGAAGAAGGCTCGGTAGGAAACAGGGGTGGGTTTGATTGATTGAGAAGAAGGCCCGGGTAGAAAAGGCCAGGTTTCGGGCACCATGCCCGTCCTGGTACGGAACCTTTATAGGACATTTTAGGTATAACAGGACTTATTCTGGCTATGGGCCTCGGTGAGGTGCTCTATTAGTGTGTAAGGACCATTAATGCTTCAATTGTATTTAAGAGCTCTTTAAGGTGCTTAGGAGCATCTTAAGACGTCACAGACACTTTATGCTTTTTACGAACCCACTATAGTGTGAAAGGACCTTTTCTTGCGTTTCTTTGCCTCCAAGATATAGAAATAATTTTTAAAAATCTAAAGGTTCAACATGTGACAGATGCGCCCCCGAATCCTACAGCATTTCTAAAGACCATCCAGGAGGTTGTCTTCGTTGTTGGTGTTCCGGAGTAACAGCAGTGTGCGAAAGCAGTCATTGGCGTCGCTCAAGAGTAGAATTGGACTATTCCCGTGGAGATGAAGATAGATTAGAAGCTGTTAGTTCTGATCAAAGAAGTCCCTTCAAATCAAGCAGTCAGCCATTGGTAAGGGATTGGTTGTAGCTTTGGAAATTCTGATAGTTTAACAATCAGAATTCTGATTTTTTTCTGATTAATTGCTCAGAATTCTGGTCTCTTAATTCAACTCTCGTTTCTGATCGGTATTCTAAATTCTGGTATCTAATCTACCTCTTCAGAATTTCTGCCTTAAACCAGAACTTTTCTGATCAATGTCAGAATTTCTGATTCTGCTAAGAAATTCTGCTTGACGAAAGGTTCTGATCAGAAATTCTGAATCCTGTCAAAATTCCTATATTGATCAGAAATTCTGATTTTAACCAGAATTTCTGAAAAACATTTTTTTGCCTATCAGAATTTCTGATTCAAATCAGAATATCTGAAAACTTAAACTATCAGAATTTCTGATTTTATTCTGTTTTTTCAACAAATTCAAAATTTCAGATAACAGACAGCGCAATTGTATTAGACGACTTTAATGGCGTCCCGACTGGCACTCAACTCTACTGGTCTCTCCCTCAAAAGTTTCTTGGAGACAAAGTTACTTCATATGGAGGCAAATTTCGTTACTCATTTCGTTTTACAAGTTCATCGAGTGGAATTTCTACTTTTGGGGGAGCTGATGCCGATGTTATTTTACGAGGAAATAATATTCAATTGGAATATACACATCAACAACACGTTGAACCAAATGTTGTGAATAGCATTGAGGTAGAAATTGAATCAGAAAACCCCAGAAAAAATAGAAAAAATCAGAATAAAGGCAGTTGGACTATTGACTAGACGCTAGAACCACACTAAGACACAGCCTTATAAGTCTTTTAAATTTCTATCTAGAGTCATGAAATTTTGTATAGATATCCTTAGTAGTGATATCTAATCCCATACAAAATTTCAGAATTTTAGGTTCAGAATTTTTCAAATTCTGGTCGAAAAAATCAGAAAAATAGGCGTTTTTGAAGGAAATTATGCCAATTTCGGCCATAACTTCTGAAATAACGAACCAAAAATTCTGAAATTTTCAGAAACATTAGCTAACTCTATTGAGGAGGTTCCTACAAAATTTCAGAGCTCTAAGTTTTAAAATGAATTTTATACAATTTTTTGCGTGACCATGATACACGCTTAATGCTCACTCCCTTCCACACACTTTAAATCTCTCTAAAACTTATTTTCAGGTTCCATTAACCGAAGCAGGTTGGCGACGATCCCCCGATGGCCAAGCTATAACCCGAGAAATTTTTCTAATGGCTTTAGCTGATTTGGAAGCTGTTTTGGTTAAAATAAGCTGTACAAGTGATTGTGCTTCTTCCTCTCTTTTGACTGTTAATATGGAAACTGCTGATGCTTATGGAACTGGGGAACTGGCTTTGGATGTTGAGCACTGCCAATGCCCTCCTGGCTATCAAGGAACATCATGCGAGGTAAATGACTCAAACTCCCTAGCTTATCCCAGACTAGTGATGCAAAAGTTCCAATTCAGGAACAGGAACCGTGGAACCGGTAAGGTCTGAAACCGGTGTTGAACTGGAACTGTGTCTCTTCTCTCTTCGAAGAGACACACAAGTATCTCTTAGTAACATATCTCCCTTTCACATATATCCCACATAACAGGGCTGGTATAAGATAGAGTTGAGATATTATAAGTGGTCTTAAGTGTGTGTAAGTGGTCGTAAAAATAGGTGGTCTTAAAGTTTATTGACACCCTGTAATATGGAATAGAAACATAGAGATATCCTAGTATTCTTTAAAATAAAATTTAAAGGTATAGTGCGATAAGATAGCGATTTCAGCGAATTAAAGGAAAATTTTCGCACTTCATTGAAATTAAAATAAATATTGCCACGAAGTTTTCTGACAGCTTTTAGAGAGGCTTTGGAGAGATTTAGCTTTAAAAAGTGAAAAGAGCTTATAAAATGAATAAAATATATTTATTAAAAAAATAATAATCCGGAAATTATAAAAAAATATATATTAAGTAGAGAAAAGGGTAGTAGACGCAATTAAATTAAAAATTGAAAAATAAAATTTACTTAATATTAATAATTAAATTTATTAATAAATATTTTGAAAAATACAGCTTATACGATAAAAAAAAAGCTAGCAAGAAATTTCAGAGGAAAATGTGTATTTAAAAAAACTGATGAAAAATCAAACATAGCCGTACTAAAAAACACTACTAAAAGTACAGACTTGTAATGCATTATAATTAATGGTGATAATTGTTTTTAATTAAAGGCCAAAATTTATAGAATGTCATATAGGTAGGGAAAATGATGAAGGGCAGAGTGGACAATAGCCGGTACCTGCTGTTATAAGCCGGAATTACCGTATACCCAAAAAATAAAAAGTTAAGTTAACCTTATAGGGATGAAAAACTAATAAAAATAAGTTAATCGTATTAAATAATGAATTAAATATTCGTTGAATTTTTAGCAAGTAATTGGGGGATTTATAAAATAGGCACTCTTAGCTTTCCCTCAAGGGTATACTTAAAGTCCAATATTTTTTAATTTAATTAGAGGTTAGAAAAAATAAATTAGAGGTTAGGATAGTTTGTGTGGGTTAAGGCTGAAAGATTAAAAAAAAATTTTTTTTATTTTGAATAAGGAAAGGTATTAATTTAATTTGAGAGGGTAATTGACGTCTAGGTAATTCTGTAAAATATTAAATATTTTATTTAATAAAAATTAAAAGTGAAAAAATTTTCTAGAGCATTTTCAAAGAAAATTGAAAAAATTTGTAAAATATTAATTATTTTATTCAATAAAAATTAAAAGTGTGAAAATTTTTTTATTATTTTCAAAAAAGAATTGAGAGGGATAAGTGAAATATATAAATGAAAATTAAATTTAAAAAACTAAATTAATCCTTTGGCCTTTTTCTCTTATTTTTTTCAACGCCCTAGTAAATTTGTTTGCGCGTTTTAAGGTCTCTTAGCTGACGTAAAATGGGAAAAAATTGAATTGACACTTTAATAAGAGGATAAATGTTTTTATTAAATATTTATTGTATTTGGTGGAATTAAATTTGGCATTTTGTTTATATTGACATTTTGTCAGGTTTTGGCATTTTATTGGCGAGCAAACAGGTGTACGCAAAATATTCTGCAGAAAAAGGTTTCGCAAAAATTTTTAGAAGGAACAAAAACATGAACTCGAACTCTTCCTATATTGCGGAAATGAGGAATTAAAACATTTTTTCGGAAATTGAAAGGCTTAACGTTTAGTTAACTCAGGGTGTCCCTTTCCAAATCACCAAAAAGGAGCATAGCACCTCAAAAAAACTTCAAAAATTTTAGAGCTCAAGCAGCCAGATTTCTTCCATTCAATGCCGCAAGGAAAAATTTTGAGAAATGTCAAAAAGGGGCATAAAAGTGGCAATGCAGAAAAAGGGGCGAGATGCAGAAAAGGCGCGATACTGTATGTAGTAGTTTGATTTTATTAGTGTTTTTCACTATGTAGAAAATTTTGTTTCCTCATAGTTCCAAAATTTAGGCGATTGATTGCCTTGAAATTAGCAAGTTTTTCAAGCCTTGAAAACACTGCTCAAGATTTTTAACTTTTTTTACGTACACGGGAAAGTCCCTAATTTTTTATTTCCGCATTTTTCACACTACCCTTATTTTTAAAAATTTAAAAAATGAGTGGGCGATTGAATTAATTTAATGAAATTTTTTGTTTAAACTTAGTTAAACACTATTTATTTTAAGAAAATAATCTCTGACGGTTTAGATATTTTTTAAAAAAGATTTTAGTTTTATAAGGAATTTAATGACGCAAAAATTTGGAATTTGTATTTTTTACGTAGGAAATGTAGGGGATTTTTTCTATGTTTTAATTTAAAAAATATTTTTTAACTAATTTTACTTAATATAGAAAATTTGAATAATTAAAGTTTAAATTTAAAAAAAAATTTTTAAATTATTTTAATAAATGTGGGGTAAGAGGCTGTAATTATTTGGTAGAGAAAAGTAGCTGGCAATTATTTAATCTTCTACTAACACAAAATTTCAAAGATTATTAACTTGAAACGAAGCTAGAAATTACCGTTTTGTAATTATTATAGAAAATCTCAGAAATATGGATTTGATGATAAAATACGGGTCTACAGTAGACGGTTGTTTGACTAGACGATAGTTTGATACGAATCGTATTAAGCTTACAATTAGAGCAATACTTAACAAGGTATCCGCAAGTGTTCAGTTCGATAGGCTTGTAGGATTTGTCGGTTAGTTGTGTTGGGAACTAAACAATGGAACCTTCTAAAACCCCTAATTTCTTTCTTCATCTAATAAAGTCAAATTTGAATTCATTTCCAGATTTGCGCCCCAAATTACTTCCGCGCGCAAGGTGGTTCTTATATGGGTGTTTGTGAACGCTGTGAATGCCATAGCCATGCAAGCCAATGTGATAAAGAATATGGAGCTTGTATTGGGTGTCAACACAATACTGAAGTGAATAAATTAAATTTTCAAGGACTTTAAATAAAAATATTTTAAAGGGAGACCGTTGTGAACGCTGCAGGCCAGGTTGGAGAAAAATTCTGAAAAATCATAGAAAATTCTTAATTCAGAAAATTTTTTTTTAATTCTGAAAACCAGAATAATATTTTTCACCATAAAACAATCAAAACCCCCTCTTAAGGTTTCACTGGAGACGCCCGCCGAGGTACTCCACATGACTGCTTGCCTGTAGAACAACCTGCACGACCTCCTTGTCAATGCAATAATCACTCACCCAGGGGTTGTGATTCTTATGGTCGTTGTATTGTATGTTCATTTTATACTTATAATGGGTAAAATTCATTTGGGTCAGAGACCATTTAGGTCAAAAACCGTTTGGGTCAGTGACCATTCCGGTCAGACCTCACATGGGTCAGAGGGGAAAAGCTGTTAAAAACTAAGTATTTAATTCATTGTATCAATAATCCGTTGGGTAGAGACCATTTGGGTCAGGGACCATTTAGGTCAGAGACCATTTGGGTCAGAAGCCATTTGGGTCAGAGACCATTTCGGTCAGAAATCATTTGGGTCTCACATAAGGCAACATGTCATAATCTGTTAAAAGCTAAGTATTCAAAACCTGCTTAATATATTTTATAGCAATGTGAACACAATACAGAAAGCTTCCACTGTGAAGTTTGCAAGAAAGGTTATTACGGCGTGGCAACACGTGGAACGCCCTTTGATTGCACTCCTTGCCCGTGCCCGTAAATTTAAAAGAAAATTCTTAGAAAAAATTTTTAACATTAAAGAGGAGATAGAGAATGTTTCTTAGATGAACGTGGAGAAGTACAGTGCAAAAATTGTCCGCCCGGTTATGGGGGAGCTCGTTGCGATGAGTGGGTCTTCTTTAATCTTTTACTTAAGGATTATTAAAATATTTTTAATTACATAAATATAAGTATTAATTTGAAAATTGCTAAATAAACATGGAATTCTAATTATGGATTGACATCATACACAAATTTTTAAAAATTCAAATTCGAAATGTCAAGATTTAATAATGTCCAAATTGCAAAATATCCAAATTTAAAAATGTCCAATTTCAAACTAGACAGCGGAACATTGGTCGGGACCCGTGCCCGTTTCCTGGTTTCCCGATCCTTTTTCCCGGCTTTTTTGAAGATCTTGGGAAGTAACCGGGATCGGGAAATCCCGGTTTTCTTGCTCAGGGTCCCGACCGTTTCATTTCCCGTTTCTCGTTCCCGTTTTTTTTTCAAAATTCCGCTGTTTCAAAATGCTCAAATTTAAAAATGCCCAATTCCAAAATGTCCAAAATTCAAATTATTACAGATGTGCCCCAGGCTATACACGCAGTCAAACTGGAGGCGGACGTGAATGCGAACCCATTGGACGTCACCGACCCTCACAAGTTGATTTTGTGCCCGCTCCAGAAGGTCAGAAATTTTTGCAGTCTACTACATCTTTCCGTGGAGGAATGAACCGTAGAGATTTTAATAGAGTTGGAGGAGGTGGTGTAGGAGGGAGAGGAGGTGGGGGAGGTGGGGGAGCGGGTGGTGGGGGTAATCGTCCTCATGGACGTCGTTATAGAGTTTTTAGCCGTGTACATGGAGGACAAAGGCCTCCTGTACGTCGTCGTCGCTTATATTAAAAAGGGGACATTTTTGGTTTAAAAATGTCCAAAAATAGGACAAAATTGCTCAATTGTCTTATTGCTTTTTATTTGTTTAATCGTGGTTTTTAATGTTTTTTGAGCTTTTTTGGGTGTCGAGATTATGTTTTCTTTATTTTTAATTCTGTCTAAATGGAAAGGCTTTGTTTGGAAATTAAAAAAAATCATGGGCAATTGTTCTACATATTTCAGTTTTATTTGGGTCAGATTTCATTAGTAAAGTCACGGGGATAACTTTTGTGGGAGACAGCGCCACGGAGGGGAGGGCATGGAATTTCTAAAAAAAATCTCTCAAATTTTCCGATTTTCGGAGAACGGGGACGGGGAACAACCCTATAACGGGGGACACCCTATTCATTAGGTCAGATTTCATTCAGATCGGCTTTTATTTGGATTACATCTCGTCAGAATCTGGACCAATTCTAATTTAGGAGACAAGATTATATCCTGCCTTGTTTCATATAGTTTCAAAAGCCTTCCGTTTTAAGTCCTCATATTTTTGTGCCTTGCTTTTTTGCTTATGCTTTAACTAAATTTTAATTTGCTGCCTTTTTTGATTTTTTTTTGTTTTGAAAATTTCCTTTCTTAAAATTAAAATAATCTTACAAAAATTTTTTTGTGCATTTTATATCAAAATCATATGAATCAAATTTCATCTTATTGTAATGTTGGGTTGTCCTCAATAGCTACTGTAGAGAGAGAGAAACTGATAAACCCCGACATCTTCAACCTTCCCTTCAAAATTTGAAAGCTCCCACCGAAATTGTACTCGTACCTGTGTACATCACATTAAACTGGTTACTCGAACCTGGACATTTCCGACCCGAAACCTGATTCGAAGAGAAAATTTTGGAAACCCGTTCCGAAGCTCGTTCCAAAACACCGTAGTATGACTTCTTATTAAGCCAGTTTACTTCCCTACCAAGGGTGTGCCAAAACAGATTTTAAAGAGCGGAACAACATACAGGCATACCCCTTGTCCCTATTCTAGATACGAACCAATCTATGCTTATAAACCAATCTATGATTCATATGGAGACAATCACTCATCCTCTCTCTCATAGCGTCGAGAGCAACCCTTCTTTCTACTTAAATAAAAATTAAATTTAAAATTTAAAATCTCTCTCTTATTTCACATGATAAAAAGGCTCTTTCTTTGTTTTATTAAATTTTGTTAATTTAAAATTAATTTTTTAACTTTAATAATTTTATCTATTTTTTGCTTACTTTCTTTAAATTTTAATTAAAATTTTTCTTGCTTCAATTGCTCGCTTGGTTACTTGGTGATGGTCGACTCTTTCTTTTGCCTTCGCTCTTTTGCAAGTTATGTTTAAATAGAAAATTATTTAAATTTGGAAAGAGCTCATTTCGGTCAGAATAAAGGAAGAAATTTGGAAAATTTTTATTTTCGGTCAGAAGCTCATTTTGGTCAAAAAATTCATTTCGGTTTATTTCGGCTCATTTCGGTCAAAATTTTTATTTCGAGCAGAGATTATTTTTGTTAAACCTTTTTTGGACAAAAGTCATTTCGGTCAATTTTTATTTGGGTTAGCTTTCATTTGGGTTAAATTTCATTTCGGTCAGAATTTATTTCGGTCACTTCTCCTATTCAAGATTCATTTTCTTTTGATAGAAAATGAATAAATAATGAGAAAATATATCCGATCATTTTTCAGTACCTCTTCGAGTAGAGATTCTCCACCCAAAACATTTGAGTATCCATGAAGGAGGCCGAGCTAAATGGACATGTAAAGTTGTTAGTGCCTCAAAGGTGGACTTGAAATTTATTTTAAAAAATTAAAAAAAAATTTCCAGCCAGAATTAGTAGACATTCAATGGAGTAAAATAGGAATGTCGGAATTACCTTCAAAAGCCTCTCAAATAGGGCATCAACTTGTAATAGATCAAGTACAGTATGGGGATGTTGGGCAATATAGATGTACTGGAAGGTTGAAGGGGGATATTTCGACTGATGAGGCTAGTCTGAATATTGGTGGGTTTTTGTGGAATTTTTCATAGAATTATTCAGGATGATTTTAAAAATAAACCCTCTCTCCAATAGAAAGATAATGATAATTTTTGGGAAAATGCTCCCGTTAATGTATGACAGACCTTTATGATTAAACACTGAGAGAAAAATTAAGAATAGGGGATTAAGAATAGGTGATCCCCACACCCGCCCCTGACCCATAGGGGGGTGTAGGAGATCGGGGTTTGCCGGGTAAGGCATGTCGTTGTTAGGGTTGACTTTTGGGTCGGGGTTCTAGTCGGGGTTTTTGCTAAAAAAAAATCCGTCGGGGTTCGGGGTCGGGTTGCTACCTTAATTAAGAATATTCATAGTGAGTGGGTACCTATTTGTGTGGAATCATTGAAATTAATATTCATTTCTCTCGGAATACCATTTGGGTCAAAGCTCCTTCTGGTCGGAGATGGTTAGAGCTTATCGTATCCTTTCAAAGCCCATATTCTTCTCAAAGTTTTAAAAATAAAATTTTAGCAGCAGCAGCCCACATTCCTCCACCCCCAATACACGTCCCACCTGCCCCAGCACAAATATCCCTACCCAAACCAATCGTCACCCCTCCATATCAACTTGTCGATGAAGGACAACAAGCTGTATTTACCTGCCTAACTCCTGGCTATGCTGACTGTGAAGTTGAGTGGCATTACCAACGATTGGGTGGCCCATTGCCTTATGGATGGCAAAGAAGGGGAAATCAAATAATTGTTCAAAATGCTCAAGATATACATGCTGGGGATTATATTTGTAGTGTAACTCATCAATTAGGAACTACTGCTTCGGATCCTGGACGATTGGAAATTAGAAAACGTAATTATATAAATATTTTTAAAATAGGTCTATTAGAAAGGGGGTTCCTTCTATTCAAATAACGACCATTATTCGAATAACGAAGTTTAATTTCCCTTTTTTAAACATGGATCCTCCTTCCAGTATAGGTCTTTAAAAATTTCCGATGAACTTGATCACCAAGGAGCCAGGCTCCTTTCGATGCCAGGCTCTATCGTTTTGGAGCGAGTCAGGCCACTTCCAATCACTCAAATTGAAGTGGTCTTAGTTGCTCTAAGCGATTCTTTACAATATATACTAGAGAACATGTCGTCCCGATTTCTGTAATTCACGAATAAAAAATTCCCGACATTGGAATGTGTCGTCTCGATTCCCGAAATTCACAAAAATTGGAAATTCACGACGTTTTTTATGTCGGAAATTTAATCTAAGAATAATTTAAAGCAACTATGCGTGTTATGGTTGAACCTCCAGAACAAACAGTAGAATTGGGCAATCCAGCACGTTTTCGTTGTTGGGTACCGGAGGTGCCTGATGCTGTCCTTAATTGGCGGCCAGCACATGGAGGCGGGTTGCCTCATGGTTCTGAACAGAGAGATGGGTAAGGAAGGGATTTTTGTGAGGAATTTTTTCACTACCTCATTTAAAGTTATCTCAACTTCCCTCGAACTGAACACGATCATCAAGGACAATACATCTGTGCAGCTTATGATCCTTCCAGAGACCCACAGGGAATAACCCCCATAGATTCTACACCTGTTGTGCTCAATATACGAACCAAACAGCCTTTCCAACCTTTGGTTGAACCTCCTTACCAAATTGTCGATGAAGGCCAACCAATTTCACGTCCCTACCGTTGCTGGGTTCCAGGCTATCCAGATACCGTTCTCAGCTGGAAATCTGCCCAACAACACGGCCTGCCAAGTGGCGTTGAACAAATACACAATGGGGCCCAATTGAACGTTCCTAGGGCAGAGATGCGACATGCTGGCGACTATATTTGTGTTGCTTATGATCCAAATGATGATCCTCATGGAGAACGTCCTGTTGATTCGACACCTGTTCGGGTGAGTTAAACATTAGAATTATCCCAAGAAATAGGAGGGGTTTTTCCACCTCAGTGAAGCGGAGCTTATAAATTCTATTCCTTTTTACAGTTAGAAGTTCGTCAGAGAAGACCCGAAGAGCCACAACCTCCACTGGTCGATCCTCCAAGAATAACTGCTAATATTGGCCAACCAGCACGTTTTCGTTGTTGGGTGCCGGGCAATCCAAATGCACAGCTTACTTGGTCTCCTCTGAGAGGTGGTCCTCTCCCCAATGGAGCTGAAGATAGAGGGGGACATTTAATATTCCGATCTGTTGCTGCTGAACATGAAGGCCAATATATTTGTTCCTATTATCATCCAGAAAGTGGAAGAACGCTTAAATCGCCACCTGTTGAACTTGATGTTCAAGAACGTGAGTTTGAAAAATTTTTACTCACATTTTTGGGTAGGAGAGCCAAGTAGGGTGAAGAGAACATAAGGTGATAGGGTACATAAGGTGAAGGGAACATCAATGTAGGAGAGCATTAAGGTAGTGTGAAGGGAACACCAATGTAGGGTGAAGGGAACATCAAGTCAGAATGAAGGAACAAAGTAGTGTGAAGGGAATATCAAAGTAGAGTGGAGGGAACATAGAAGTAGTGTGAAGGGAACATCAAAGTAGGGTGGAGGGAACATCATAGTAGGGTCAGGAAATAGGGTGAATGTAAAATGAAAGTGGGGTGAAGAGAATTCTAATAAACTTGACTGACCCTCCGTCCTTCTAATAATTTAATATCACTTTTCAGCCAAAAAACCACTAATTGATCCACCAGAACAACACGTTCCCGAAGGAAAACCTTCTCGCATTCGTTGCTGGGTTCCAGGCGATTCTCAAGCGCAGCTTTTTTTTACCAAGCCTGGTGGACTTCCTTTACCATCAGGCTCTAGAGATGATGGACGAGGAAATCTACACATTCCCCAAACATATAAAGAACATGAAGGAGATTATGAATGTATTGCTCATTTCCCACATGTTCCTGGTTCTCCTCCACAGGTTTTTAAGGAGTTTCCTATTTTACAAAATTTCCCCTTCTAAATCAGACCTCTGATCCAGCACGCATTTATGTCAATCCACCATCTGTTGTGGATGTTCAAAAACCTCCCGGCAAACCACCAGCTCCAGTAGCTACTCCACCCCATCAGACTGTACCCCGTGGAGAACCTGCCCGTTTCCATTGTGAACCAAACAGTGATACACCTGCACAGATATTTTGGGGCTTTGGTTCTGCCAACGGTGCTCTTCCAACTGACGTCAGTGTGGATGATCAGGATATTTTGATCCATGCGGCGGATGAGTCAACCATTGGCGATTATGTCTGTTCCGCTACTAATGAATTTGGGAGAGGGGTTGCTCAACCTGTACATCTTTCTATTACTGACCGTAAGATTTAATAAAAATTAATCAAAGAATTTGGACCTAAACCCCCTCATTTTACAGAAGAAGAACCTCCAACAGCTAGAGTAGAACCTAAAGTTTGGAACGGCAAAACAGGGGATAATCATCAATTTAAATGTTATGTAACTGGAAATCCTTACCCAACAATTTCTTGGACTGGCCCAGGAGTCGAAGAAGGGCAATTACCCGAAGGAGTAGTTGATTTGGGCGATGGAGTGTTGGAAATCACAAATGCAAGTAAAGAATTGCATGATGGAATGTATACTTGTACAGCTACGAATCCGTTGGGAGAGGCTTCTGATGATGGAAAGGTATTGAGAGACCAGAACAGAATTTAATTGCAATATTCTGATCAGAAAAATATCAGAATTCTGCTCAAAATAATAAATAAAAATCAGAATTCTGGTGTAAAATATCAGAACTAAAAATCAGAATATCAGAAGAGAACCTCAATTCTGATCTAAATTATCAGAACAGAATCAGAACTTTAAAATTAACAATCAGAATTCTGATATGGAAATCAAACTAGTTTAAAAAATCAGAATTCTTTCAGAAAAATCAGAAATCTGGTTTGTTCTGAAAAATCAGAATTCTAGTTAAAAAAATCAGAACTCTTGCCTGTTCTCAAAAATCAGAATTATGATTGCAACCATAAACGTGTCAGAAATAAAAATCAGAATTTTGCAATTAAAAATCAGAATTCTGATTATAAAATTTTCTCCACTAACCCTATCATATTTTTCTTTTTTAGGCCAACATTTCACCACCTGATAGTACACCAAAAATTACTATTCCGCCAGGCAAGCCCGCACCTGCCCGTCTAAAACTAATTGCTGGTGAGCCTTTGGAAGTTAAATGTGAGGCCCGTGGAGAGCCCGAACCTGACGTTGAATGGCTACAGTAATAAATTTTTCATTTTTGACATTATGCCAAGAAAAATTTAAAAAATTTTAGCGACCCCGGACCAGAACGAGGAGATCTTCCTGATGATTTTGTGCCTATTACAATTTCCGAACAATTCCTCCGACACCCAAGTATAGGCTTAGGGAATAGTGGATGTTATACATGCCGAGCCAGTCATCAAAATGCTTTTATAACTAAAGGAATTTGTATTGAAGGTGAATAGACATCAGAAAAAATTTTAAAAAATTTCAAAAATTTCAAAAAAAAATTTCAAAAAAATTTCCAAAAATTTCAAAAAAATTTCAAAAAATTTCAAAAAAATTTCCAAAAAATTTTTCAGAAAATTTCAAAAAAATTTCAAAAAATTTCAAAAAAATTTCCAAAAAATTTTTCAGAAAATTTTAAAAAAATTTCAAAAAATTTCAAAAATTTCAAAAAAAAAATTTTAAAAAATTTCAAAAAATTTTAAAAAATTTCAAAAAAAAATTTCAATTTTCAAGTCATCGAACCCTCTGGACTAGCAACTGTTGGAATTCTCGGCGGCCAGCATCAATGGTTCCCCCTTGGACACCCCGTAGAACTAGTTTGTGCAGCTTCTGTATCTTCGCTAGTCGAGAAAGTAGAGTGGAGTAAAGCTGGTGGAGGGGAATTGCCTCCACATGCTGAAGCAGATAAAGGAGGAGTTCTCCGATTTGATGCGTTTAAGGTGGAGTTAATTAATCTTCATCAGTTTGTAATTTTGGCCCTCTCTTTCTTGGGATATCTCAGAGTTTTCGGGGATACCTCAAAGTGGTTTTGGATGTCTCGGAGTAATTGGGGATATCTCAGAGATTATGGGGATATATCTAAGTCTTTAGTCGTTGGGAGTTCCTCTGGAATATCTCTTATATTTTTGGGATATGGTAAAGGAATGAGACTCTGCCTAGAAGGAGATATCATCGTAGCCTAGGTATAGGGGGCAAATGGTCGTTGTGACATTTTGATAAATTGAATAAGGCATCCCTTCCTTCGAGTGGCCCTACTGGAAAGTGTTAAACACTCAGTTATCCCTTCTTAAAAAATTTAATATTCTACAGTATCCCCAGTTTTATTTTTACTTAATATTAAATTCAAGGCAGAAGATGAGGGCGAGTACGAATGCAGTGCTTATAGGAAAAACGAAGTGATAGCCAGCAGCAGAGTGGAACTGCACCCCGAAGGAGATACTAAACCCGAACTACTTCAAGTTGACATATCCCCACCAAACATAAGGGTGGTAAATCAAGGGGATTCTATTGTGCTAGATTGTATTGTGCACGGTTGGAAAATTAAAAAAATATTTTTGAGGGAGGATGAGGACATTATTATCTAAATTTGGGGAAATAATTTTTAGGCTATGATTGACATATCTTTTTCATAATTTTGTGGTGTTATCTGCATTGGGAGAATATCTAAATCCGAACTTGCGGACAAAACCATTTTTGCGGACACAAATTTTGCAGACAAAAATTTTTTCGCGTAAGAAATTTTTACGGACTAATTTTTGAAGATCATGAATTTTAAAAATAGGTTATCCTTCTCCTTTCTGCCTAGTCCTCATGTCTAAATTAACTCAATATTTAAGAATTCTTTTAAAAAAATTTTTTGCCATTCTTGAATTTTAGTTCTCGCGCTTGTTTTTAAATTCTCTTTTAATTTTTTGATTTTTTTCAAAATATGGTGGAGGGATTTTTATGCTTTTTTTTTAATTTTTTATTAAGTTTATTCAATTTTTTTAATTTTTATTTTAAAAAATTTATTCCTTCCCTCTACTGCATCACAGGAAAACCTAAACCTGGTCAAATGCTTCTCTCTTTCGACTGGTTTTATGGACGACGCCCTCTTTGCCTCTTTCATATCTTCTCTACAGATTCCAATATTATCCATCTAAAGCAGCTTAAACCTGAAAATTCTGGATTTTATGTGGCTATGGGCAAATTGTCGAATGGCAAATTGGTCAAAAGCAGAGCTTTGTATTTGGTTATAAGACCAAATGGTCAGAGTTCATATAGCACTGCTTCACTGTTTTTTCTGTTTTTGCTTTAGCTTGGTTTTTCTTTTGCTTTTTAATATTAAGCCTAAAAATCTGACTTAATTAAGCATTTTTAGTTAAATTATCATTAGATGCCCTCAGGCAATATTTTTTAATTTAAGCATAACTTTATCAATTTTCGTCCTATCAAGTTAATTTTGATCTCATTCGACGCAGCTCGAAAAACTGCATCGAATGATTTATTAGAAAAAGTCAGGACTCGAAAAAAATTTTTTAATTATTAAAAAACATCCGTACCTCCCACTTAATATTTTCATGCTTTACCAATAATTTTCTTCTTTTTTCTAACTAAATTTAATTGAAAAATTGGGGCATCCAATTAACAAATAACTAGTTTAATTTAAAAAATATATATTAAACAAATTAATTTTTCGTTAACATTAACTTTACTTAATGTCCTTTCCTCCAAATATGGTCATTCCCCCCAAAATTAACATAACGCCAAAAACGCCAATTTAGGACATTCCGGCGAGGAATTCAACTATGCTTGGTCTTTAGCCCGTGGTGGATCGCTCATTAGAGATTTGGGCAAACAAAGCCAATTACAAATAAAAAGTGCCGATCCAAGCAATGATTACGGTATTTACCGTTGTGAGGTGGAAAGTGAGGACGGAGAGGCGTTGGGGCAGGCACAGACTGCTGTAGCTGTTGGTTTTGAATCTGATGAGAGTTAGTAGTGTTTAAAAAGTTTAAATTAAATGAATAACAATTTTATTCAACAAAACGCTTAATTTTTAAATTTTGGCGTTGAAAAAATTTTTAGCGCACAGCAAGAATTTTTTGAAATTTTTGGAATTTCAAAATTTAATTGAAAATTTTCTGATTAACCCTCTTTCCCCTAAACTTTTTGCTTCTTTAAATAAACAATTTCCTGATTTTAACATTTTTCTGCAATATCTTATGCACATTTTCCTTAAAATTTATCGCCTGTATTACCTGTTGATCAAGTGGACTTGAGCAAATATAACCTTCTAGCGGATAAAGTTTTTAGGAGTTTTTTGGTATCGTTGAATAGAGGAGAAGTTTGGCAATAAATAAAAGTATAAACCAAAA